ATCTTTCACATCATCTGAGCTGCAGTCAGTGGGAGCGTAGGCAGAAACGACGAAAAGGCGACGACGTGTGTCCCTATCCTTCCGAGTTCTTACGGAGCCGTTTAGCCGAACAGCACATAGACGACTGTTGACGGGGATCCACTCTAGCAGTGCTTGTTCCGCCCTCATGCTTAGTGCTATGCCTACACCTGCCAGTCCACGAGAGCTGGCTGTTGGGTCACCAGATACACGAAGGGTGTATCTCGTTGGCTCTCCGTTTTGCCGAGGTGAGGTCAAGTAAATGACCACACTGGAGTCCTGTATGCGTGTTTCGGAGACACAGCATACATCAATGGAGAGAGATTTTAGGGTTTTAGCCAAGGAAGCCTGCTGACAGATTTGACATAGAGTGCGTACGTTGAAGGCTCCAATGTGTAGTTTGGAGCGAGGTTTCAGTAGACCTGGGACAGAGTTTTGAGCACTAGAATCGTTGGCTATGGTGACAATTGAGGGGGAAGCCGAAGGAGGAAGTTTAGGGTTTGAAGTCGATGTAGGAGGAATAATAGGAATTGTAGAGAGAGGTTGACTATGAATACAGTGGTCTTGGGTGCTGTTAGAGGTATGAGGGCGGTTATCACTTCCCGGTTGCCCACACCGTGGAAGGGTTGTTCTGGAGGTATCTGAAAAGGAAATTGGATTAGAGGCGGTCTTAGTGACCTGAGAGCGTGGCCTCAGTGCCCAAGGGACAGCTTCTTGAGGTCGGTCACGCACGACCTTTTTATGAGTAATTTTTGTGTTAGCTCCGCACTTGTTGAGACCTTACCGCTGTAGACGGATATCCATGGGATTAAGCGAGGTGTGAATTTTTAGGTTCAACATTTTCTAACCGCACCCCTCCTTGTGGGAAGGCAGCGTCTCTGTCATGCTGGTTGTCTGAAGGAAACACCTTGCTGCTGTCACACCTCTGTACAGTCAGCAGTACGACTTCGCCTTCGAACCTTGGGTTTGTTGCTTTTAGTCTTACCGCTCTTCAACCGACCTGTCTGACATGGTAGGACATTGAGGAACGGTTGTTCCAGCCAGTATAGCTCGGTTGCTTCATCACGATAGGCAAGCCCGACTACCACGTCAAGGTAGCAACAACGTTCGGTTGACAACTTCACTTATCTAGGAAGTCTGATCAGCCTCAATGGGTTGGTATCGGACGAAATCTCAGCACGGATTCGAAAAGCTCGCTTGGCTTTTGCAGACTTCCGTCACCTATGAGGAAGGCGAGATATCCGTCTATCAATAAACTTTACTTACTTAATTACGCCTGTTACTCCTCGTGAAGGAGCATAGGCCGCTCACCAACATTCTCCATCTAACCCTGTCCTGGCCAGTCCTTTCCAGCTCCTTCCAATTGTTAGTCATCCTTTTCATATCTGCTTCTGTTTCCAAACTTAATGTGTTCTTTGACCTTCTTCTTTTCTGTTTCCCTTCAGGATTCCAGGTTAGGGCTTGCCTCGTGATGCAGTTTGACGATTTGCGTAATGTAGGTCCTATCTATTTCCATCGTCTTTTCCTAATTTCTTCTTCAGCTGGAAGCTGATTTGTTCTCTCCCATTGAAGGCTGTTGCTGATGGTATCCGGCCAATGGATGTTGAGTATCTTGCGAAGACAGCTATTTATAAATACTTGTACCTTCTTGATGGTGGTTGTTGTAGTTCTCCAAGTTTCAGCTCCGTACAGTAGAACTGCCTTGACGTTCGTATTGAAGATTCTCACTTTGATATTGGTTGAAAGTTGTTTTGAGTTCCATATGTTCTTCGATTGTAGGAATGCGGTCCTTGCTTTGTCAATCCTTGCCTTTACGTCTGCATCTGAGCCTCCTTGTTCATCGATGATGCTTCCCAGGTATGTGAAGGATTCTACATCTCCCAGAGTTTCTCCATCAAGAGTGACTGGATTGCCGTTCTCCGCTTCGAATTTGAGGACCTTGGTTTTCCCTTTGTGTACGCTGAGGCCTACTGATGCAGAAACTGCTGCTCGTGTTTGACTGTTGTTAATTGCTGCCTTCTTGTTTTTCCTTTCTTTGATCTTGTCCAGTGTTTCTTTATGGTGGTGCTTCTTTAGACTCAGAACCTCTTGGGACACGTTGAAGTTAATGCTTCTTTGATGCTTTTCCAGTTGTCCTCCATAGTAGTTCCTTCTTCCTTCAGTAGATCCTGTAAGGCTTAGAACCTGTTGTTGAGAGCTATCTCGAATTCATTGAGTCTGTCAGTATCTCGAAGGAAGGCTTTATTGAACCTTTGTATTGCTGTTTGTCCAGTTGTCCAGTTCTTTTTTAGCTTCAGTTTCAAGTTGGCTACAACTAGGTGGTGATCTGAACCTATGTCAGCACCTCTCCTGGTTCTCACATCTTCCATTGTCCTTCGGAATTTTTTATTGATGTAATTATGATCTATCTGGTTCTCTGTGGTGTGGCCCGGTGAGATCCATGCGACTTTGTGTATACGCTTGTGTGGAAATATTGTGCCACCTATGACCAATTTGTTGAATGCACATAGATTTGCAAATCTTTCTCCATTTTCGTTTCTTTCTCCCAGTCCATATCGTCCCATGATATCTTCATATTCGGTGTTGTCTATTCCGACTTTGGCATTTAGATCTCCCATTAGAATGGCGAGGTCCTTTCTTGGGCATTTCTCTATGATTGACTACAGCCGCTCGTAGAATTGATCTTTAATGTCGTCGTTGCTATCATTGGTGGGTGCATAACATTGGATAATATTCATTGTGATCCCCTCCTTCTTTGTTTTGAATGATGCTTTGATGATTCTGGATCCGTGAGATTCCCATCCTACAAGTGCATTTCGTGCTACTTTGGATAGCATTAGAGCAACTCCCTGAGTGTGTGGAGCATTTTCCTCTTCGTGGCCAGAGGATAGCAGCATCTTTCCCGTAGCTAGCCTTTTCTGTCCAGCCTGGGTCCAGTGGGTTTCGCTGATTTCCAGTACTGCCAAATTGTATCTCCTCATTTCCGTTGCTATTTGACTGGTTCTCCCGATCTCCCACATTGTTCGGACGTTCCATGTACCTACAAAATTTTTTGCTCTGGTTGTTAGAAGGGGCATCGGCCTCGTGGCTTCCTAAGGAACTCGGCTTTCACCATAAAGCGTCATAGTTCTTCTGAATGAAGACCTTCTAACTCCCAGGGCAGAGTTTAAACGGTTCGAATTATTTTTTATGGTAAGCGTTTTTCAGCGAGTTAGTTTTCTACGGGATGGAGACGCTAACCCCATGCCCAACCCTCCTCCTTTACCCAGGCTTGGGACCGGCAGTAACTCTAGAAGAGCTACAGGCGAAGTTTCTATCAATAAAAGGACGAGTATACTGCACGGCAGTTCGTTCTGTTCTACTTTACGGCTGCGAAACGTGGCCATTAAGAGTAGAAGATATTCGCAAGCTACTAGTATTTGACAACAAATGCCTCAGAAATATTGCTGGCATCTGCTGGGATCACCGGGTAAGTAATAGTGAGGTTAGACGCAGGGTATTAGGGAATGATGGTAAATCAGTTGATGAGGTTGTGAATCTTCATCGACTGAGACGGTTTGGTCACGTGCTACGTATGCCTGAACACCGATTACCATGACGTGCAATGCTAACCGGTGTTGGGTATGATTGGAAGGAAGTTAGGGGCAAACAAATCAAAACGCGGCATCACTGCTTGAGGTCACTAACTTCTAGTCTCAGCCATGGTGGTAGATGCAGACTACTTGGTTGTGGTCCGCGTGACTATCGTAACAAATGGTTGGAGACTATGGGTGACATGGCTCAGAATAGATCACAATGGCGTCGGTGTATACACTCTCTATCTTCCCTTAAACTGAGATTAAAATCGCTTCAAATCTTTCTTTCTACAAACTAATTCTTTCTTTCTATACTATATCCTTATATGAAATCTTTCTTTTATATGTTACCACCTCTGAATTAACTACTTTTACGAATCCGGTGTTCATCTTGTCGTGTTAATGAGGAGGTGCAACTTGGACCGATGCATATATGTGCCTGGTCCTACGTTGTAGCTGACTGACTGACTGCAAACGTTTTACTTAGTGAACAGACATATGATATTTAACAAGGAATACCAATAACAATGGTACATTGATATTCGGCCATAATTTGCGTTATTATACGATATGAAACTTTTATTCAGGATTAAAGAGTACATGTGCCTAGGGAGTGCAGTTACTCGTGAATCAGAAACCAAATAAGGTTGATGAATTGCTGTCATCTCGTTAAGACCTTCAGAACATAGGTGAAGATTTATTTCGAATTTTATACCCGAGTTGCATTAGAGTAAGTTCGGAATATAGCTTCAGGTAGAGAGCTCACGTTCTAAAGCATTAGGTAGATTTATGCGACACGATGTAAGAACTAAAGTGATGATAGTTTTTAATACTTCCTAGAAGATGCCGAAAAGCCTAAACCTCTTTTAATTTTCCTGTTGTATATTAAACTTTGTAAAATCTTACCATATGTCGGACGATGGATTTAGCATTAGTGCCCTGTTTCCCAAATCCATATCATTTGAAAGGAAATTTTCTAAAAACTTTCGAAGGCTGATATAAACCACTAACTACTGAGTCATCACCTCCTGAAGTTTTCCACCAGGGTGTATATTACTAACACTTTCTAGACAAATTTTCAAGAAGACTAGACCTTTATAGTATCATTGTTAGTGACTTTATTCGACACTATATATTCCCAGCGGTAATTCATGCAGGTCACTTGACCTTCGATCTTCGAAATTTGAGAGTGCGAACCAAAAGCGAAGTACGGCCAAAAATTAGCATTATTCTTATTGAAAATGATAAACAATGTTTCTTTAGCATACGTGACCGCATACATGGGTCGTTTGATCTCGATTCATAAACATAGTGCTGAAATTCTCTTTCTTGTTGGCCATATTTAGTAAATTCAACAACAAAACTGTGTTAAACGATAAAACGACCTATTAACACAGCAGAACTTACCAACAGACTACCTGTAATCTCTAAATAACAGTTATCACAAATAAAAGAACACGATATCTCGTCCAGAGTACATGATATAATTCGGAATCTTGGGTGAGACCTAGGGAACATTTCCTGCAGGACCTGCTGATGGTGCTTAAGCTTTTTGATGCACGACATAACATATAGACCAGGTGACCTTCAGGAGATGCCAACGCAAACCTGGAGACCCAAGAGAAGTTGCGTTCTAAATTCGAATACATGCCCAATGTACAATGTCAGACCTAGACCATGGTCACAGCTTTCAAATAGACAAATAAGAGCAATTTAGCAGACTATCATATCTATATATTGTAATGACTTGAAACAAGACTGCTATGTTAGTGTTGTGGCTTAAACCAAATACAGATTTCTGCTAATAGTTAAACTGATTTGCTATGACTGTAGAACACCTACCTGCTACTTACAACGAAATAAGATGACTGCTTTGTCGATACAAGAAAGAAAATAAGACCTTATAAGCAGATTGATTTATTCAGCAACTAATTAGAACAACTTCCACAATAATTACTTACTTCCTTATCCCTGTTACCTTTCATAGAGGAACATAGGCTGTCCACCAACATTCTTCATCCATATCTGTCCTGAGCAATCCATTCCAATTGTTATCCATTCTTTTGATGTCTATTTCCAACTCCCGACGCACTGTGTTCCTTGGTCATCCTCGTTCCCTCAGGACTCCAAAGTAGGGCTTACTTCGTGATGCATTTTGATTTCCGAAATGTATGTTCTATCCCACTTCCAACGTCTTTTCCTAATTTCCTATTCAACTGGAAGCTGGTTTATCCCTCCCCCCCACAGTAGGCTGTTACTGGTGGTATCCGGTCAGTGGACATTCAATATCTTGCGTAGACAATTGTTTATAAATACTTGTACTTTTTTGATGATGGTTGTAGTAGTTCTCGAAGTCCCGGCTCCGTACAGTAGAACTGTCTTGTTCGTATTGAAGATTCTGACTTTGGTGTTGGCTTGCAGACAGTTGTTTTGAGTTCCATATGTTCTTCAGTTGTAAGAATTCTGCCATTACTTTGCCAATCCTTACCTTTACGTCTGCATCAGACCCTCCTTGATCATCGATAGTGCTGCTGACTAGGTACGTAAAAGATTACATCTCTTCTGGAGTTTATCCATCAAGTGTGATTGGGTTGGTGTTCTCTGTGTTGTATTTGAGGATTTTACTTTTTCCCTTGTGTATGTTGCGACCTGCTGATGCAGAGGCTTCTGCTACAGTAGTTATCTTCATCTGGATTTGTTGGTGTGTATAGAATAGAAGGGTCAGGTCGTCTGTAAAGTCAAATCTCCTAATTGATTTTGAGATGTGCATTGTATTCCGTGCTTCCCGTCAGATGTTAGAGGTCTTCATAATCCAGTGAACCACCAGAAGAAAGAGAAAGGGTGAGAGTAAGCAGCCTTGCCTGACTCCGGTCCCCACCTGGAATGCATCTGTTAACTGTTTTCTCCACAATAATACTGATGGTAATAATGTTACGTGTTTTAAGTGTTTAATCATTCAATTAATTCGAACAAATTGAACTCCGAGTTAATCAATAATCTGATGTGCGTGTCTAGAATTCGCAAAATCAATAAATTAACTATCTTGACCAAGAAGAAAGAGAAAGTGTGAGAGTAATCGACCGTGCCTCACTCCGGTCCTCACTTGGAATTCATCTCTCAGCTCTCCTCAATGCCACACATTGCATTATAGTCTGTCTTATGAATTCCGGATGATGTTATTAACTTCTCAGGTAGTCCATAGTGTCGAAGAAGGTTTCATGAGGTTTCTTCAATACACACCGTTAAACGCTTGCTCATGGTCAACGTAGTTGATGTAAAGTTGCGAGTCCCACTCAACTTATTGCTCAACGATGATCTCTATTGTCACAATTTAGTCTGTACATGATCAATCCTTATGGAATAAAGGTTGTTGGTCGCGATTTCGGGCGTCCACCAAATGTTTCATGTTGTTCAGCAATGCTGTGAGAAACCTTTCCTTTTACCGATGGTGTTATGATTCCTCAATAGTTTCCACATTTGATAAAAATGTCTTTGATTGGCATCTTGATGTGTTACTCTTTTTCAAGTCTTTCAGCACTTGTTCTCCCCCCCCCACCAATTCTTCCTGAATATAAAGTAAACCATACCTACAGTTACTTCTACGTCTAGTTTCACTACTTCAGCTGTGATGATGTCGTTGCTTACTACTCTACCACTTTGATTTGTCTGATGGTCTCCTCCTTCCCTTGATTGTTGGTAATAAGGCGGCCTGCTTGAATATCTGGACTACCTGTTCCTGCCATCTAATTATTTCAACAAGTTATCTGTTTTTTCATTAGTTTTAACTTATCACTATGTTCATTAATCGCATAACCTATTCAGGCGCTTTTATGAAAAACCTACGACTTTTCGCTGCACATAAAAGTACTAAAAAACTTTGTGGTGGTTGGCAATATGCGTTCAAGAGAATGGACATTGATCGTATATCTATTCCCGAGCTTCTACATTCTAACTGCCGATCACTAATCAGCAAATTGGACCATCTGCAATTCCTACTAAGTCAAAATATGTATCGTAATTGTGGTGTCATCGCATTTCAAGAATCTCGGTTAAATGATTTACGAGACGACTGCCTAGTATTACTACGTGATTTCGAAATTTATCGTCAGGATCGATCAAATAATTAAAATAGATGTGGTGGCGGTATAACTACGTTTGTAAACGTAAACTGATGTCGATCTTCGTTTGTGTGTTTGAAGTTTTCAAATGACTTTATCGACTGTCTAACTCTAAAATGCCGTCCAAAACATCTGAATAAATACAAATATGTTTATGATACCAATATCTACGTGACTCCAGACTGCACATCATTTGCGACATCTGTTTCCTCAGGTTTAAAGAATAGTTGTGTTCCTAGTTTCACTGAAACTGATCTCCTAAGATGTCTCCAGTCACTTTATTCATCCCGATGTTTGAGACCTGAGGGTATCCCAAACATATTTTTTAATGTCCTGGCGTCCTATGCTATCTATTCACGACTGTCTTTAACAAATCCTTCTTATTTAATCTCATACTGAAAACGTGGAGAAAGATGAAGATAATCCCGGTACCAAAAAAACTATCCGGTAATAAGAATGTGAAATTTAGACCTATTGCAATAACTTCACTCTTCCTCAACTTCATTGAAAAATTATTAATACTTGCACTTCAGCCTGCGATAAAAGAGCATATTGATCCATATCAGTTTGCTTACAGATGCTGTTGCTGTTCTGCATCACAACATAGTGTTCAACTTAGAAAAGGGTAAGAAGTATGTTCGATGCGCTTTTCTAGACTATACTTCAGCTTTTGATTCTATACCAAGACAACGTTTACTCAACAAGTTAATCAGCGTCAACAATGACAGCTGGATAAGCAACTGGCTGTGTTCCCACCTCTCTGAAAGGGAACAGTACACTGTATTTGGAGGACAGTGTTCGGAGTCTCTACTGTCTCATGAAGGTGTACCACAAGGAGCTGTTCTTTCACATCTTCTTTTCTCTTTTCTTCTTCATGATCTGCCATCTTCCACAGAAAACACTTTTGTGAAATATGCGAATGATTTCACTGTATTTATGCCCATCTCTTCCTCTTTACGTCCCATAGAAATGAATGAGTTTTTGTCTCGTATTGATTGTTGGTCAGTTGGTAATGGTCTCATACTTAATCCGTCTAAATGTCAAGCTGTTAACTTTAGCATGAGACATGGACAGAATCTAAACACCATTTTGAGATCACATAATGCTTGTACCATCGGAGACTCTTTGATAAACACAATGTCGAAGGTCAATTATCTTGGTGTCACCTTTTCCTCTGATTTCTCTTGGTCTTCCCACGTTTTATTGTTATCGAAGAAGGTTTTCCGTCTGACTTACTACATAAAGAGATTGCATGCTCTTGGGATTACTCGTCATTTACTCCTACAATTTGTCAATTGTTGCATCTTACCTATTATTCTTTACTGTTCTCCATTATTCTTTCCTGGACTTTTGAGAAAAGACTTTACTGTATTGCGGAGAGTGATGAAGGCAGTTAGAAAGGTGTGTGGTGAATCTTTCGAGGTCATAATTAATATGGTTGTGGATAGAAATCTAAAGTCATGCAAACTCCTGGTAGGTATTGTAAGATCCAAACTACGGTTTGGAGTGAAGGACAGCTGTCTGGATGAGTTAGATACGCGCCCTCGCCCGATTGAAACCAAAACAAAGTAATTGGGTAAGATGACGGTTCTATAATTAATCATAAATTTAAGTGTACATTATTACCTAAACAAATATAACCACTCAGCTATCCAACCAATAATTGTTCAATTGATCAAATCTAAACTTCAATAAATAAGAAAGTTGATAAAGGATGCAAGAAAATTACCAATCACCACAAATAAATGTTATTCTATCCTGTCTGGATAGATCACGTACAGATTCGTTGAAAAGGTAATAATTGGTCGCTCTATAACACAGAGTGTTTTCAATTCTGGAAGAGTGCTTCAATTCACAACCAAAATGCCCGATTCCAGTCAACACAGGTCAAGCAATCAAAAGCAAGAACAAACTAAAATGACTGCCGCCCAGACTTAGTATGAAGTAAAACAACATAAGTGCAGTTCGGAAAGAAACACGGGGAATTAGTGAAGGTGTAGTAAAAACGAAAACTATAATAAATGCAAATATTAACAATTCAAATGTAGTCAAAAAGTTAACAATGTACAACTAAGAGGATCAATAAGAACAAAGTGCAAGTATATACATGGAGGGATTTTCACAAACGCACAAGGCATTAAAAATGGATCTTACAGGTGTTATTTTGTCAGATACCAACCATCTCCTTCACTCTTATCTTTCTCCTTGTATATCTTCCGGTAGAACGAGACATAATTACATTAAAATCCATGCACTCCAGAAAAAGTATAAAAGTTCTATAATACATTACCTAGCAAATATACTCTGTGACGAACAGGTTGTTAGAGTGAACCTAGTCAATAACTTGCATTCCTAACATGTCTCTTATTTGGAAAGTTGTAGAGTTTTTCGTTTTTTCCATTTTTGTCTTCGTTTATTTTTTGTGTGTAAGAAACTTGTTGAAATACT